TTTTTGTTCCTTGCAGCAGAAGCTCCACAGACGTTTAATACAAACACTGGGAGGGGTGGGGGAGAGAGAGCTGGACAGTCAGATGGGGCCACGGCCGACACCAAACGCCGGGACACGGGGAGAAGGCAACTAAAGCTAAAGTCGGGGGTTTGCAATTCTCAGTTCTGACTGGGCCCGCTGAGGGGTGGGGGGGTTGCAAGGGCTCCCGGGGGCTCTGGCCTCCGGCTTCTGTTGGAAAGTTTTAAAAAGAATCAAAACTAGGGGCATGGAGAATCCAGACAGAAGCCAAGGCTGGGCCAGGCTTGGGATGGGGGCGGCATCCACTGCCCTCACCAATCTGGAAAGACGGAAAACCCAACAAACCAAAAAGGGGTGACAAGTGGACGGGAGGGAGTGCGGGGCAGGGCCCCTGGGCCTGTCCACCCTGGGCCTGGTGGGGCGTGGTGGGTGCCTGCGGTAGGGGGCCTCAGGGATAGGCCGCCCCTCGGCTTCTGGGGCCACAACCTCGGCCCAGGGAGGCACAGCCTCAGGGACAGAGGGTCCTTTGGCCTCAAGTGTTGGTGGGGGCTGCTCCCAGCCCACCGTGATGCCAAAGTGGAACGAGGTATCGTGTGTCTGGATGCGTGGACGCTGTATATGCGCGCCTGTGTTCGTGGGTGGCAGGGAGACCATTGATGATCCAGGAGAGAACTCTGCAGAGAGCCTGGGGCAGGGGCTGTGGCTGAGAGCGCCTGGAGGCAGGTCAGCCGGCCTAGCAGGAGGAAACGGAGGAGTGGGTAGAGGGTGGAACCTCTCACTTGGGCCTGATGCTGTGGGCATATGTGTCCCTGGGTGTTGTGTACATCCACAAGTATCTGTCTCCACACTCACGTGTTGGTGTATGCCCATGTTCACGTGTACCTGTGTCCACCACGTCCACGTGTGTCTGTGTCCACATTATGTAGCCCCACACCTCCTTTCCCTGTTTATCCTGTCCCTCGTGTCTGACAGGGACTAGTGATGCTTAAATGTGTCTGGGGTCTATCTCTGTTTGTCTGTGCTGCTGTGCGTCCCTGGGGTATGTGTATGGCCCCTGTGTGCCTTGTGTGGCTGTAATTATTGTGTGGCCCTGTGGACCCCAGCCCCTAAGCCCTGCTCCCTGCCCCCCTGCCCCAGTTGGTAAACATAACCTGCCAAAATATTTTCTTTTTTTTTTTTGTCTTTTTTTTGTGTTTTTTTTTTTTTCAAGTTCAAGAATCCCCAGTAAATTTTTTTTTTTAGGTCTTTTTCCCTTTTTACAAAAATTTTTTTTTTCTTCTCCTCCCACCCCCCCTTTTTTTTTTCATTTTGTTTCTGCTTCCAGCCCCTCCCCCTCTCCCCACGATCCACTGAGGGGCTCTGGGCCGGCGATGCCCACACCCCTCTTCACATTTCTCTTTGTTGGGGATTTTTAAACCTGTTTCCCCCCCAGGCCCTCCGAGATGTTTGGGGGGCCTGGACAAGGGGTCCTGGGGGGAACCCCCAGTACTTCCCAAGCCACCCATGGAAGGTGGTTGAGGGTGGGGTGGGGGCACATCTCTGCTTTCTTTTTAGCCGAGAAAAGAAACAAAAACCTTCGCCATGAACAAAACCAAGACGAGAGAGTGAACAGCCCAGCCTGGGGTGGGGGCAGGAGATGGGGTGGGGAACCCCAGGTGCTCCCCCTGCAGACCCTCCCGCCCCTGAGTGCTCACCCTGTGGCTTCCGCAGGGATGTGGGGGCCTCACATCGTCCGTGGTCTGCCTGTGCTGTCTCTCTCGGGCCCCTTCTTTCTCTCTCTCTCTCTTTCTCTCTCTCTCTGTCTCTGCTGCCCGGGGAGGGGTGGGGAGGGCGGGCGGGAGGCTGTGGCTCAGGCCTTGTGCTGTTTGCTGGTCTTGAAGGAGACCTGCAGCACACGCTCGCCCAGGCGGTAGCCATTGAGGCTGGCGATGGCCATGGCCGCCTCATCGTAGTTGGTCATGGTAACAAAGCCGAAGCCCTTGCACTTATTTGTGGTGAAATCACGGATGACCTTGACATTGGTGACAGCCCCAAAGGGCCCAAACAGCTGCCACAGCACACTCTCGTCCGCCTCCGGCGACAGGTTGTACACGAAGATGCACCAGCCAGCGCCCGCCGCGCCGCCCGACAGGCCCACACCGGCGAGGCCACTCATGCCGTCGATGGCGATGGGCGAGAACCTGGCGATGAGCGACAGGGGACTACTTTGGGGGTCACGCGGGCTCTGCCCTGACCCCCAGCATGTACCCGACCCCGCTGTGGCCCTGCGACCCCTGACATTGTGGTGACCGTGGCTGTGTCATGACTTTGGGCCGTGGCCATGATACCCATCCCGATCCTGATCTCCATCATCACCTGTACCCCTGTCTTGATCTCTAACCCTCCCTGAACCTATGTCTCAGCCCCTGATCCTGCCCTGAACCCCAATCTATGCTTTGACCCCATGACCTACCAATTTCTTATGGATTCTGACCCCTCCTCCTCCCCTGGCTTTCAGCCTTCCTTTGCTACATCTCACCCCACTCTGACCTCATGCTGACCCCGCCCTGACAACCTTGCACGCTGCCCCATTGGCCACCTTGACAACCCCCTCAAGCTGGCTGAAAGCCCACCCTGAAAGAGTAGCGCAGGGAGGTGGACATGACCGTAGCAACTCCCTCCCGCCTTCCAGGTCACCTCCTCGGGGTGGTCTCCTCTGATCCCTGAAGAAGTGGCCCACCTCGTCCCTCTGCCTCTCTTCGGCCTCGTCCCACCCAAATTCCTGAGCGGAGCACCAGCACACATGGCTCGTCTTCCCTGTGGGGCTCCAGCAACAAGGGTAGCACCTCGCACACAGAAGCCACTCACCAGGTATTGAGTGAATGAATTAATTAAAGGACCACATTGGCCTGGTCACATTCCTTGCAGGCTCCTACACCCTCAGGGCTAAGCTATTCACGCCTCAAGGACTTGGCCTTGGTACCTGGACCTAACT